CAGCGCACAGCGCTCACCCATGGCATCAATGTGCATTCACCAGCCTGAGGACCCAGCGCACTGCGCTCACCCATGGCATTAATATGCATTCACCAGCCTGGGGACCCAGCGTACTGCGCTCACCCACGGCATCAATGTGCATTCATAGGAGGCCCCGTGGGGCAGGGGTCGTCTGTCTGTGGTCCTCAATGCTCAGTATAAATCCCAGAGTGACAGCATTTCGTCTCCCAGGCCAGAGGGAGACTGTCCTTGGATGGAGTCCAGACCTGTCAATTCATTCACACGAGAACAGAGACACAGCCACCACCCCCTGCTCACAGGTGAGAGCAGAGACACAGCCACCACCCCCTGCTCACAGGTGAGAGCAGATAGAGACACAGCCATCATCACCCCTTGCTCACAAACCTCCAGGTGATGCTTGCTGCCTCTAAAACTTCCTGGCCTGGGAATGCAAACCCTCCACTGGTAGGTTTCCACCTGTACCCCCAGGGTTATTCATCCCTGATCTCAATCCCCCCAATCCACCCCCGGCCAAGTTCAGACTTGCTGGGTCCGCCTCATTCATTCACCTGTCCCCTGGAGCTGCCTGACCTTCTCCTGTGCTTCCAGGATATGGCCTCGCCCTCCTGCCTCCCCCAGCTCTGCCAGGCCCCAGAGTGGCTCAGAGTCCTGGCCTGGGTTCGATCTGTAGGGCCCATGTCCTGGAGCAGGCGTCCTCAAACTACGGCCTGTGGGCCACATGCAGTCCGCCTAGAACATTTATGTGGCCCACTGGGTGTTTTTGCCACTGCTGCCTGTCCTGCTTAGCAGCCGACTCATCCCGGGGCCCACAGTCCAGCCCTCGAACCGTCTGAGGGGCAGTGAACTGGCCCCTGTTTAAAAAGTTTGAGGACCCCTGTCCTGGAGCCTCTGTTCCAATTCACTTGAGCGCAAGTACCACACTCTTGACCCCTTCCTTGCTTTATTAGAAATGTGGTAAAGGGCAAAATTTTCTGATTTACTTTACAATGAGTTCAAGAATGTTTACAATGCTATTTCCCCTATTTATGTACATGCTTGAAAACATGTTTAATAAAATGCTAGAAAAAAATTAGGAAAGTAGTATCAGGAAGCGTGTGGTATCTGCCTTCCCAGGCCTGTGCCAGGAATGACTGTGAGTGTGAGTGTGAGTGTGACTATCTCCCTGACTAGGATAAACCCACAGAGCCATGAACTAAGAGCTCCCATCAGTGCCTGATGGGCACCTTGAACTTCCTGGGCTCAAAGCCAATCCCGGGTTGGGCCCCAACCTCTATCCTGCCATTTCAGCCAGGGCAGCTCTGTTCAACCAGCCCCAAAGCCAGCTACCATTCCCCATGGTCCCTCTGCCACATCTCTCTCTCCCACGCATGCATAAACATGCACACACAGTCTGCACGGGCATACACCCCATACACCAGCACATGTGCACACCCCTACACACATCTGTGTACATACATACCCTGTGCACATGCTTACCCCAGAACACATATGCCTCGTGTGCACATTCCACACATGCACACACCCTGTATAAGCACACACCCTTCACATGCACACACACACCCTTCCCAGGCACACATTCCTGTACACACACACACCCTGCACATGCACTCACCCCTATATACACACACCTTGCACATGCACTCACCCCTATATACACACACATCCTGCACACACACTCACCCCTATATACACACACCCTGCACATACACTCACCCCTATATACACACGCATCCTGCACATACACTCGCCCCTATATACACACACCCTGGACATACACTC